GAAAGAAAGAAAGAAAGAAAGAAAGAAAGAAAGAAAGAAAGAAAGAAGGAAGAAAGAAAGAATGAAAGAAAATGCAGCTGAAGTCCCACTTGCCTTGACAGGGCATTTAATGGGGCAATGGATAGAGTGTTGTGTCTGAAATCAGGAAGACCTGAATTCAAATATGGGCTCAGATGATTACTAGCTGTGTGACCCTGCACAATCACTTGGCCTCTGATTGCCTCAGTTTCCTCAACTATGAAGTGGGGATAATAATAGTCCCAATCTCAAAGGATTGTCGTGAGGATCAAATGAGATAATATTTGTAAAAAGCACTTATCATAGTACCTGGTACATCACAGGTGCTATTTTCTTCCTACCACCTGCTCCCTAAATGTTTCACCTACAGTAATCAACTCCTCCTCTGAACTTGCATAGCACATATGATCTTATCCTTACTATTCTTTTTGACATTTATCATATAATGGTTTTATATGATGATAGCATTTAACTCATTTAAAAAAATTTAAATGTGTATGCTTTATCTCCCTAATTAGTACATAATTTTCTTGAGAGCTGTTTTATGCTTTCTTTTGTATGACAGTCCTCTTCTCAAAAACCTTCAGTGGCTTCCCACTGCTTGACTCATACAGCACAAAATCCTAAGCCTGACATTTAAGGTCCTGAAGAATCTGACTCCAGTCTCCTTTTCCAGTCTTATTGTTTCAGTATTCATGCCTTCTACACTCCAATCAAATTATTTTACCCATCATTCTCTTATTTTGTCCTGTCCTTTCCCTTCTCTGGATCTTTGGTACATGGTCCTTGAATAGATGGACTCTGTCCCATTTGCACCTAATATTATCCTTCTTTATCAAAGGCCTAGTTTAGGGTCCATATCTTCCTGGAAGCCTTTACTGATTCTTCAGTTTGAAGGAACCCCTTCCCTCCCAGGTCATTCTGTTTGACCTCTCCAATGTACTTATTTTCTCAACTGCTTTATAGTTATCTATGTATATGTCTCACTCCT